AATGCACAATTGGAGAACGACGCAGTGAAATACAGCAAGCGATCAAAGCTATTTTTTGGCTGTAGTCCTGAAGTAGTCAAGCTTATCACATGTCAAAATCAAGAGACAACAGTAGTGAATGTAGGCTGTTGAATGATATTTGCGGAATTTTCCATGAACAGCAAAAAGCTCAAAAGGACCCATTCTTATCCCTAGATGAAGTTTGCTGAAAGTAGTGAGTACAGGACAGGGAAGAAGAAACTGCCAGATGCATCAACCTGTAGGGCTAGTGCAGAATCAATTATGTCCAAATGCTAACCAGTCCAAGATTGCTCTGATGCAAGTTGTTCAAATCCTGATTGTGCAAGCACAGAAGATTTGCTACCTCTGCCAAGCCCTTAGATTTTGAAATGCATATCTCCCAACAGTGACCATCGGGAAAAACCTAGAAGAAGAAAAACAAACTTTATCGCTCCGTACGGTACACTAGCAAGACGAATCATAACATCCGGGCGATTACAAATACTGGGTGGGAAAACAAATCCGTTGAAGCTGTTGGGATCAAATTCTTGCAGATCTTTTGCTTTGAAACATGCAAACCCTAAAAATTAATTGTTTAGTCTGCCCAGTTTTTCATATTTCTCCCATTTTTGCAAATCCAGACACTCATTTCCGTCAGTCTCCGAATTATGGTTTTTGATCTCTCACCTAATCGTCATTTCAGCATGGATCTTTGAATTTTTCAGTCTGTTGCCTGATTACTGTGCAAGCAGAGAAGCAACCGTTTCCTCTGATGCCAACAACCTCATCTAGACTGATCACAAAAAAGGAAGGTATTGAGATGAGAATTTGAAAAATGTGAACGTCGAGAAGCTACAGAAAATAACGGTCAGACTGATGGTTACCAGGCAATCAAGAAAAATTGGACACAGTAATCAACCCACCATGGTCAGTTGCCTGGAAAACCAAGCCATATTCTGCGTCACTTCCGCTATTAGCAAATATCTCTCCACTGCCTATAAAATTTTGCAAATTAAGCGCTTTTGTAAAATAATTAGTACCCCGAACGTGTGATTTCGAAACAAGCGAGTACAAATGCTGAAAGCGTATTTGTGATGGAGCAAATCCGTGCACATTTGCTAAGAAAATCAAAATCGCCTGGACTATCATTGTGGATGCATGTTACTGGGTTGCTCCTACACACAGGGTGCAGCTATGCCTGGCCCTTCGATCCTGGACA